ATGTACTTTTCTTCTAGATCGTCCCACAGTAACTTTGCAGATTCAACATTTTGATATACATCAAACAGAGAGTCAGACATACCGTTTAGAATATGTCCTCGACAAATGTAGTCATCGTTCTCCCACTTGCACCGCTTCCTCGTCTGCTCCAGTGTTTCGTCATCCATGATCTGCGGCATAGGCGTGCTCAGTACATACACGACCTTCAATGTTGTGAGAAGGAAGTGCATCTTCTTCTGCCATCGACGGAAGTCCTGGCCTTCAAATTTTTCTAACTTCGAGAACTTGCTGCTCAAATCTCTTACGGAATCGCCACACGTCATCTTTGAGTTCTTTAGGAATAACTTTGATCTTTGTTGGAGTTAGGAGATGAAGAACACTGCGAAGCAGTGTTAAACGAAGAACTTGATAGAATAACGAATCGCGTACGAAACGCTTTCAGATCAAAGTTATTTCGGGGTATACAAAATACTTCAATCGGATAAGACGTTAATTCAGAACAAGCACTCGAGAATCTATATTTCAACCCATACTACGAGACTCTATTTTATAGAGTCGAAAATCCTTGTGATCGGACATGAACATTCGCGTAGATGTACGCGTACGTTCGCGCAAGAAGAAGAAAGGTGCGAGTTTGAACGAAAGGTCTCCTGCGGTTGAAGGCTTAATTTCGACGTTTATCCATTATGTACGAGTCCTTTACCGTTTAGGACTCCGGTCACGAAAATCTTAAGGATTTTCTTAAAGAAACAACGTCCGATCGTTGAATTTATAATATCGTTGAACGAGCGCGCACTCCGCGCCTCCTAACTCGTTTGACAACGTCTATTTAAATTCTTGTCCGATCAAAGTAAATCCAATTACACAAAATAAATTGATGACACTAAAATCACCAACAATATCTCATATATATACATACGCAGGTGTGTATTTGTGGACTGCAAATCTCTTAGCTATTAAGGTTTGAAACTTGGTGGCTTGACGATAAATTGCCACTAATCCAAAGATAAGTGTTAATTAATTATTCCATAATTAATTTACTAATCTCAATTTTTTCAGTTTCAATTTACGTTTTATTCCGATAAATTTTTTTGTTGATATTTTCTAAGTTAAAATGTCGATGCTAATTAGTTTACATACTTATTAAATTTACTACTTTAATTTCTTATCTAATTTGTTCCGATAACTACATACTCCGTAATATTCTTGTTGTCAAAAGCATCTAGAACGGTTTTCGGGGCGTTACACGTCTCCATATTTTATTTCATCTTTCTGTTCTTCATATTTCATTTTTAAATTAAGGAGTTAAAGAAAAAGACTATTTTTTATATTTTTATTTCTTTTCATTACTTTTTTTAACTGTTATTACTTTTTACTTTGTACATAATATTTTATTTTTCATTTTTTGTAACATTCTGCAAAAAATATTTTGTTTTCAAAAGTACATTATGAAAAATTCTAATTTGAGATGGGAAGCATATATATTATTTTATATATTTGTATAATAAAGGAAATTAAAATCGGAAAAATTCAAGATCGGGGAAAACAAAGGGCATAAATGTCATTTTTGCTTTAAAAATAGGTAAGGGGGGCATGTGTGCTCTATTTAGAAATCACAGGGATTTTACAAATAACTTTTGAAAACAGAAGGGGTTTTGACGCCCTTTTTGTAAACCACAGGGGGTGCCCATGCTATTAACCCTCAAAACATATTTACAAAATTCGTGTGGTTTCAAAATGTTACACATACACCTCTCTGATAATTTTTTGCCTTTATTTCTTCCAAAGAGGGGGCATTGATTTCATTTTTAAAATTTGTTTTTCATAATGTTTTAAAAATTCAAAATTTTTTGTGCTTGAAATAGAAAATAAATTAAATGAAGAGATTGACATATATTGCATTTATCTCAAATATATTTTTTCCCCAAAATAAAATGTAAACTATTGTTTTGGGAACATCAAAAAATGAGGAACAACAAGATAAATTATAACAAATGAAAAAAATAGAAAATAAAATGAAAGAAAATAAAAACAAATAAAAAAACACTCTTATAGAAATTAAAAGGGAAAATATAGTCATGAATTACATTGATGAAGGTTAAAATTTTCTTTTTTTAATCTGTTGGATTAAGAAAAAATGATTGTTTTGGACAAGCACAAATAGATTAAAATAAAATGTAAATATTAAATTCAATTGGGATTCAAAGCTACTTCAAAATATGCCTAAAAAGTGTATAAAATATGTACATATCATCTACCCTGTGCAATTATGTTAAAACCTTATCCACCATTTATGCAAAATTGCGGCCCTCCATTTTTTCTCTCATGTCTTGGCTCCGATACCATGTAGAAATTTAAAAGAAACTAGTTTGCTTTTCATTAATAACAAACCGATATATATAAAAGTACATAATGGGCTAAACAATAGTACATGCCCAAATGCTAATCTATGGTCAATTAACAAATAACCGCTAACATCTTCTTCTCTTTAGCCGTTACTAGAATCAGCGGCCAACAATCTCGACTCAAAAACCAACATTATATGTTCAAATGTTTTGAGAAAGTGTATATTTAAATTGTGTCACCGAACAACATTTGTAAGAGTATATCCCACATCGAAAGTTGAAGAGAAAAATAATTGATAAATAAGCTTTTAATTGAAATTAGTAATTGATTAAATTTAGTTTTTAATATAATTCAACCCAAGTGTTTTATGGCTCAGCCCAATGATCCCTACTGTGGTCCTTTACGTTCGGGCTCTCACAAAAAAAATCAAGGGATCAGATCGAAATTGATTTGCAAGATCGCTTAGATTCAAAATAATCTGATTGTCCACTTCAGGAGAGTCTATCTCAGATCAGAAGTTGAAGAAAAAAGTGATCAGTATATAACCTTTTAATTTAACTAACTAATTGATTGGATTCCATATTTTTATATAATTCAGCCAAAGTATCTTATGACTCAACTTTATAATTCCTACCTCATTCTAAATTTTATCAGTAGGTTTGGTAGATGGTAGTGTAGTGCATTGTCAACTTATAATCTTTTGGCACTCTCTTCGAATTTTTACATCACTTGGCACTGCAAAAAACATTTTTTCATAGTGTGAGTGGGCAGATGGCGGTGTTTTAATAAGTAATAAGTAAGCATTATATGGTACTATGGTAGTATAGAGTGTTCTCTCTATCTGCTAAAGATCTTCCCATGACGTGTTACGGGTTGAAGTTAGATCAATTTTATTTTTTTAATTTAATTTATTTGATTGCATATATAAAAGTTAAAAATAAAGTCTTTAGAGTAAAAGACTACATGAAAAATTTAATAAAACAAAGATGAGAAGACTATTATTTTATGAAATGGTGAATAAAAAAACTCTCTTTGATCCTAAAAATTCTTCCTATTTTGACTTTTTTGGTCAAACAATGGCATATTTTATCACAAATTGCGAGAAAAGTGTATTGAGGTATAATATAAATTCAATATAATTGGATTTATCTTAGGATATAGTTTCCATATATCAAATTTTTATATATTTATCATTTAGATTATGTTTAATTTTTTGTCAAAGAGTATCACTGTTTGACTATTTTAAAACCGGCAATTATAAAAAATATGCAAAAAAAGCGAGTTAAGTTTGACATTATATATGGTTTTGCTGAGAGAAAGATCAAAGTAAGACTAAAACATTGAAAATATATCAAAATAAGACTTTCATATTTTTATTTTCGAAATAGGACTTACATTACCAACCATGGCCATATACATTACCAAAAAAGTATAGTAATGTGCACATGTACAATGCCACATTACCACAGTGCAAAGTCCTATTTTAGAAAAAAACATAAAATTCTTATTTTGGTACTTTTCTATATGTTTTAGTCTTATTTAAGACAATTTTTAGGTTTTGTTTGAAACTGGTTGGGATGGGAGTACATGAGTATACTCTATTATTAATGATGCAATTATTAGTAAATATTTTAAATTGAAGGTCGTAATAGGAATATAAGATATCTAGAAAGGTTTAGTAAATTGAGATACTCCGTATTTTTTATTAATTATGCAATCATTATTACTCCCTCCGTCCTATAATAATCTTTCCAATTCGTAAAACGATGAAAAATCTCAAGTTTTTTCAATCTATTTTATTTAAATATTGGTATAGAAATAAAAAATAAAACATACTCCCTCCGTCTCAAAAAGATCTTCCTATTTTATTTTTTGCGCATCCTTTAAAACACTTCTACACACATCTAAAATGCCTAAAATTTACCACATTTCTCATTTATTGTGGGTAGAAGTTGTTTTGAAAGTTTTTTTGCATTTGAGACGGGATAGAAGTGTTTTATGAGATGCGCAAAAAAAGAAACAGGAAGGTCTTTTTGGGACAAAGGAAGTACATATTTAAAAACTACACCAAAAGTTCAACAAAACAAGTGGTGACAAGAATATTTTATTTTATCATATAGGCCATGAAAAAACACAAATAAATATAAATTTTCGTGAAATTAGAATAATGCTTTGGGAAGATCATTATAGGACAGAGAGAGTAGTAACTACGAGTATATTCTAATTGAACCTTTTAGCCGTTTTAGGTAACGCCTAGTAAAGAGATTCTAAATTAAATTTGTACTAAATAATACTTCCTCCGTCCCAGAAAACTTTTCTCTTTTCTTTTTTCATCCGTTCCAAAAAACACTTCTCATTTCTAGTATTAAAAAGTCACTTTTACCCCTTACTTTTTCATACCTTACCTATCACATCATACCTTTTTACTAATAATCTATCCATCAAATCATACTTTTACCCATCACATCAAAGTACATTTTTGGAAATTCAATACCAAAATACATTCCCCTTAAATCTCTCTCCAAAACCAAAACTCTCATGTTTTCCGGGACGGAGGGAGTACTAAAATATATGTCATTTTCAATATAGCATTTAAATTTTTTTTATTTTCTAAGTACTTAAATAATAGCTAGACATCTAGTGGTGAGAATAATTTCCAGTAATGGTGAACATTTATTTAAATAATGACTAATTGACAATGACCAATGATACTACAATGAAAAAATAAAAACATACTCCCTCCGTCCCTAAATAAACTTCTCATTTCGTTTTTTCTTGGTCCCCAAATAAACTTCTCTTTTCTCTTAAAAAACCTATTTTACCCCTTACTTTTTCATACCCTACCTATCACATCATATCTTTTTACTAATAATCTATCTATCACATCTTACTTTTACACATCACATCAAGGGTATTTTTGGAAAGTCAACACAAAAATATCCCTCCCTTAAATCCTCAAAAAATAAAAAATGGAAGTTTATTTAGGACTGGAGGGAGTATGACACTATATTGAGAAACTTACTATGTTTTTAATAGAAATATTTGCACTAAATAGCACTAAAACTTAAGTCATTTCTCTAAATAGCACTTAAATTGTTTTACTCCCTAAATAGCACTTAATAATGTCCATCCATAATGTCCTGTGACGACGAATATTTACTTGAATAATCACTAATGCATAATGACTAAAAGTGCTACATTAGGAAGAAAAACACATGTAGTGCTATCTAAGGAAAGTCATTATGTTTTAGTGCTATTTAAGTAAATTTCTCTTTTTAATATGGAGTATCATTTCCGGAGTATAAGTAAGTGAAGGAGTCATTCCTCCAATACCATTCACCAATCACTTCCAATAATGGCTCTCCTCAACATTTGTGTCAAGTCTATTCTTGGGTCCTTTGTCCTAATTGTGCTAACGGTGACGGCTCTGACATGTCAAGCCACCACCGATAGTCAAAACGACACATTTCGAGAACTCCCCGTGGAGGAGCACTTTGAGAAATGGATGGTTCTTCACGGACGCTCTTATACAGACGAATCCGAGAAGGAAAAGCGATTCAACATCTTTAAGAAAAACAAAGAAGAGTACGTCGAGTCCTTCAATAAAGCTGGCAATCACACTTTCACACTTGGCATCAATGCATTTTCCGACATGACCGACGAGGAGTTTGCCGACATCTACCTCAGAAGAAATTGTTCAAGCAAGGCGCTGTCACTAGCGCGAAAACCCAAGGATCATGCGGTTATGATTAGAAATATTTGCACTAAATAGCACTAAAACTTAAGTCATTTCCCTAAATAGCATTTAAACTGTTTTATTCTCTAAATAGCACTTATAATGTCCATAATGTCCTAATGACTAATGACTAAAAGTGCATAATGACTAAAAGTGCTACATTGGAAAAAAAACATATGTAGTGCTATTTAGAGAAAGTCATTATGTTTTAGTACTATTTAGGTAAATTTCTCATATGATTATGGTAATGTTAAAGATTGTCACAATTTCACTTTTTTGGTCAAACAGCTGCACTCTTTAATTGACTGTAAATTAAATATAGTCTAAAATAATTAAATATTGATAGAATTTAGGACGGGGTAGTAGTAACTGGGTTGGGCAATAAGACACTTGGGTTGAACCGCATTAAAATATTGAATCCAGTCGATTAGTTGTTTTCCTCATACTTTTCTAATGTGGGATACTCTTTAACAAATATTATAATAATTTGATATTTCAAAGCTATATTTAAAAAAAGCAATTTTAATAAATTTACATTATAATTAAATATACCTTTTTCATAATTTGTGGTCAAAAGATGCTACAGTTTGATCAAAAAAAAGTCATCGGAGGGATTATTTACCATAAAATCAGCACTTCGTACATACTCTGTATTACTCAGAGTAGTGAAAGTTGAATTGTAACATAATTTTATAATCAAACTGATGGTTTGATACAGGTTGTTGCTGGGCTTTTGCGGTGGTGGCGGCGGGGGAGGGACTAAACAAAATCCACTACGGGTCACTGGTGGATTTGTCGGAGCAACAACTCCTAGACTGCGAACCTTACTCCAAGGGCTGCGGCGGCGGAAGCATGGAGGATGCGTACGACTACGTGGTGGAGAACGACGGGTTAGCCGAGGAGAAAGACTACCCGTACGTCAGCCAGAAGCGGACATGCCGCGACGAGAAGGTGGATGGCGTCGCCAGCACCAAGAGCTACGCCTCCGTCCCCGCGTTGCACAACGAGGCGGCACTCCTCGCCGCCGTGGCGGGGCAGCCCGCCTCCGCCACGATAGCTTTCGGGGACGACTATGTCCCCAGGTTCAAGAATTACCACGGGGGAGTTTACTCTCCGGATCCTCGCGGGTATTACGAGGATCCGAAAGGGAACTTCCACGATATCGCTATCGTGGGGTACCTCCCTTCCTATTGGATCATAAAGAATTCTTGGGGGACGGGGTGGGGGGAGGGCGGGTATATGAGGTTGGCTAGGCAAGCCAGTGTAATGGGACCCTGCGGCATTTTTCGTGAGGCCATTTATCCCATTCCTTACCCTATCGATAGAAATTCTTTTCTTTTCTTTTTCACTCTTTTATCTTTTGAAACTATTTTTCTATCTTTCTCTGACTCCCTTAATTATCTACACTTTATTTTTCTCACTTGATTTTTATTTAAACCTTCCAAATAATATCAATAAAAATTGCTCCATACTACTGCATGCGTATTATCAATTTATGATACAATAATGATGATGATGATGATGATTATTATTATTATTATAGTGAGAGATTTAAAATACCTCTCTCATAAGGCCAATCCTTCGGTGCCTCTTTCAAAGTAGGGTTTTAAAACTCTCCCCATGTGGCACAATAAGAAAGAGACATGTGGACACAATATTCCACATCTTTTAAAAAACTTAAATTATTGTTGTTATTTTAATATTGACCCCAAGCCAAAATTAATTTATACACACACACATACACATATATAATAATATTTTAAAAAATATTAAGAAATCACCCTACGTAGCACTCTAACTCATCTAATACTACGCATTTAGCACTGCTTATTGTTTTTTACCAAATTAGCTATTTATGTTATCAATCTCTTCCAATAATACCCTTTATGTTGTCAATCCATTTTATCTATCCTACTATCAATTGTTTCAATTCCTCTTTCAACTCCTAAATCAAATTCGGACTCACATAATGTATACTTTGTGCATAGTGGCATAGTAGCCTTTTTTATCAAATTCTTTCTTCAATCAATTAAATGTAGTTTTGAATAAATATATATAATAAAAATATGATATATCAAAATTATATCATAAAAATATGCCAATTATAAATACTTCCTTCATCCCAAAATAGGCCTCTTATTCGATTTGTGATGTTTAATTGAAGTTATTTTCAAATCAATATAAGTAAAAATTTGTGTATAATTAAAAAATAAGAATTATATATTAAAAAACTACATAAAAAATTATACAAACAAGTGGTGACAATGAGACTTACATATAAAACTACCAATGTTATAAATTATTATTCGACTTTCATTTTGTGCAAACCACTTGTGGTTGATTTTATGACAATGGAGTTTTACCATGAAAGAGATTGTTATGAAATGTGTTACTCAATATGGTGGCTGTAAATATTTGGACAGTACTGATTGATCATGTTCTGCAAACACTTTCTAGCAGTGAATTTGTCTTTTATATATAATGTGGCAGACAAGAGTGCAAATATGGCAGTGTATAAAAGTTCGCGGCCTAAACAAATTTGTGTGTAAAAATATGGCAGTGGAATTAGACATACATATAAAACTGCCAATATTATGAATTATGAATTAAGTTTCATATTGTGCAAAAGTCATGCGCTTCGTTCTATGACTATTGGGTTTGAACATTCAAGAGTTCGTTATGGAAATGTGTTACTGAATAGGAGGCTATTATTTTTTTAACAATGTGGAATAATCAACTTCTAGCTACACTTTTTGAAAATGTCCTATGACCATGTTTGCCTAGTGTGTTTTGGTCAAATGTGATTTATATCTAAAAATCCCAATGTAATAAATTATTCATTGAGTTTCCATTGGAAGTGGATACAAAAAAATCACCAAAACGGCTAGTGCTTGAATAACTTTAATAAACAAAGCAGTGCGGAATGCTTGTGATCTAGGTATACTTTTTGGCAGTGTGTTATGTCCTATGTTTTGGCCCGTGTGCTATGTTGCACAATTCTACATAATGTTGCAGTGTATGCTGCTTACAAAGTCTTAAAATTTACAACATAATACCTATACATTCCATTATCCATTTCTTTTCAGTACCACATAAATGAAATTCAACATATGTCTAATACTAACATCTTCTAACATTATACAAAATCAAGAAAGACTAAAAAAAGCCAAGACCATGTTTGGTCAGTGTCTTTTGGTGTAGTTGATTATTCATGAAATCAGTCATATATTTTTGGGCAGTGTGGAATTCATACATGAAAATAGTGTGAAATTCATACATAAATAAAACTATACACTTTTTGAAGGTAAAGAATTTATACATGAAAATACTGCTACATAAATCAATGGACATTGCACTCCAACATGAAATTAAGGAACACAATAATATATTTACACACTGCCGTAAGACATAACAACATATATCCAATCTACACTTCCACATTAAATACTGACATATAAAAAACTACACTGCCCACTACATAGTTACAAGTGAACAACCACACTGCCCAAAACAATCATATTTTTTGGCAGTGCGTTATGAACATTTACTGTTTAATTAAAGGACAAAATTGGAATCACATGTACGAAACATATAGCACTGCTATTTAGAGTATTTTAATGCTCTAAGAGTGCTATTTTGGTTTTTCTCCCAAAAATATTTCATACTACCTCCGTCCCTGAAAACCTTTCTCCTTTCTTTTTTCATCCGTCCCAAAAAATACTTCTCATTTTTATTAAAAAGTCACATTTACGCCTTTTTTTTCATACCCTACATATCACATCATACCTTTTTACTAATAATCTGTCCATCAAATCATACTTTAACCCATCAGGACATTTTTGAAAATTCAATACCAAAATACACTCTCCTTAAATCCCTCTTCAAAATCAAAACTCTAATGATTTCTGGAACGGAGGGAGTATAATATATCTAATAAAACTATTTGTGTATCAACAACAACAATAACTCAGTTGAATCCCACTACAGGAGGGTCAGGGAAGGGTGTGTGTACGCAGACCTTGCCCCTACTCGGAAGTAGGGAGGCTGTTTCCAAGAGACCCCCAGCTCTAACTGCACAAAAAATATGATAGACATCACAGTAAAACACAGATAAAGCACCAAGTACAATGGAATGAAAGTTCTGCAAGCAATATTTGTGTATCAATATCTAATATTATTGTCTATTTAATTTGAGGTCAAAGTTTAGAGAAATCACCATAAATAGGATTAAAATATAGAAAAAAGTACCAAAATAGGAGTTCCATATTTTTATTTCTGAAATAGGACTTCACACTATGGTAATATGGACTGTACATGTGTATGTTACTATGCTTTTTGGTAATGTACATACCCATGTTTGGTAATGTAAATGCAGTATTTTAACTCTTATTTCGAGAATAAAAACATGGAACTCCAATTTCGGTATATTTTCAATGTTTTACTCCTTACTTAGTACTTACTTTAGTCTTTTTCCCCAAAGTTTACCCATTTTGACTAAATAAAGTTAAAAGTAGACAAATATTCTGGGACGGATGGAATAAATGTTAAAAGGTCATCCAAAAAATATGTAAGAAAACTAATTGGGAGAAAAACCAAAATAGCACTCTAAGAGAATTAAAATACTCTAAATAGTAGTGCTATATGTTTCGTACCTGTAATTCCGATTTTGTCCTTTAATTAAACATCAAATGTTCATTATTCACTGCAAAAAAATATGATTATTTTGGGCAGTGTGGTTGTTCACTCGTAATTATGTAGTGGACAGTGTGGTTTTTTATATGTGAGTTTTTAATGTGGCAGTGTAGAATGGATATATGTTGTTATATCTTACGGCAGTGTGTAAATGTATTATTGTGTTCCTTAATTTCATGTTGTAGTGTAATGTCCATTGATTTATGTGGCAGTGATTTCATGTATTAATTCTACACTCTCAAAAAATGTATGACTATTTTCATGTATGAATTCCACACTGCCCAAAAAATGTATAGCTCTTTTTATGTATGAATTCCACACTATTTTCATGCATGAATTCCACACTGCCAAAAATGTATATGATTGTTTTCATTTATGAATTCCACACTGCCCAAAAATGTATTACTGATTTCATGAATAATTTATTACACCAAAACACACTGGCCAAACATGGGCTTGGCTTTTTTGGTCTTTCTTGATTTTGTATAATGTTAGAAGATGTTAGTATTAGACATATGCTGAATTTCATTTATGTGGTACTGAAAAGAAATGGATAATGAAGGTATTATGTTGTAAATTTTAAGAATTTGTAAGCATCATACACTGCAACATTATCTAAAATTGTGCAACATAGCACACTAGCCAAAACATAGGACATAACACACTGTCAAAAAGTATACCTAGATCACAAGCATTCCACACTGCCAAAAATCTTTGAGCTTACACTTCATACTTTGTTTATTAAAGTTATTCAAGCACTAGTCATTTTGGTAATTTTTTTGTGTCCGCTTCCAAAGGAACTTAATGAATAATTTATTACATTGGGATTTTTAGATATAAATCTCATTCGACCAAAACACACTAGGCAAACATGGTCATAGGACATTTCCAAAAAGTGTAGCTAGAATTTGATTATTTAGTAACACGTTTCCGTAACGAATTCTTGAATGTTCAAACCCAATAGTCATAGAACGAAGCACATGACTTTTGCACAATATGAAATTCAATTCATAATTCATAACATTGACAGTTTTATATGCATGTCTAATTTCACTGTCATATTATTAATGGAAGTTAATAAAGTACATACAAATTTGTTTAGGTCGCTAACTTTTATACACTGCCATATTTTCACTCTTATCTACCACATTATATATAGAAGACAAATTCACTGCCAAAAAGTGTTTGCATAACATGATCAATCTGTACTGCCCATATATTTATAGCCACCATATTGAGTAACACATTTCATAACAATCTCTCTCATGGTAAAACCCTATTGTCATAAAATAAACTACAAGTTGTTTGCACAATATGAAAGTCATATAATAATTTATAACATTGGTAGTTTTTTATGTAAGTCACATTGTCACCACTTGTTTATAAAATTTTTTATGTAGTTTTTTAATATATAATTCCTATTTTTTAATTATACGAGTACAATAATTTTACTTATATTGATTTGATAATAACTTCAATCAAACATCGTAAATCGAATAAGAGCCATATTTTGGGATGAAGGAAGTATTTATAATTGGCATATTTTTATGATATAATTTTGATATATCGTATTTTTATTATATATATTTATTCAAAACTACATTTAATTGATTGACGAAAGAAATTGATAAAAAAGAGTACTATGCCAGTATGCACAAAGTATACATTATGTGAGTCCGAATTTGATATAGGAGTTGAAAGAGGAATTGAAACAATTGATAGTGGGATAGATAAAAGGGATTGACAACATAAAGGGTATGATTGGAAGAGATTGACAACATAAATAGCTAATTTGGTAAAAAAACAATAAGCAGTGCTAAATGCGTAGTATTAGATGAGTTAGAGTCCTACGTAGGGTGATTTCTTAAACTAATTTTGAACTCAAAAAGGAATTCATCTTTGTCCGTATTTGAAGTGTCATATTATAAATTTGGATATATAATATTGTTATTGTATAGTCATCATATGTAAATACATACTCCCTCCGTTCCACAAAACCCTTGATGTGATGAGAAAAAGTAAGATGTGATAGTTTGGTTAATAGTGAAAAAGTATGATGTGATAGGTAGGGTATGAAAAAGTAGTGGTAAAAGTGGTTTTTTAATAGAAATTGGAAGTGTTTTGTGGAAAGCAAAAAAAATGAAAGAAGAAGGGTTTTGTGGAACGGATGGAGTATATTTTTTTAAGTCATTGATGGAAAAAAGTGAAATAAATTTAAAAAAAATAGAACGGAGTTGGATAAAGTTGTAAATTTAATTTTCGATCAAAAAAATCCAGTGCTCTAATTTTATTTAATGATGAAAAATTTGCACTACATAGGACTAAAATATATGTCATTTTCCAATGTAGGACTTAAATCTTTTTATTCCCTAAATAAGACTTAATAATATCTAAAGGGAGGAATAATGTCCAGTGATGGTAGACATTTATTTGAATAATGATTAATGGATAATGATCAATAGTCCTACATTAGAAAATAAAAACACATGGTCCTATATTAAGAAAGTTATTATGTTTTAGTCTTATTTAGACAAATTCGCATTTAATGATTTCACTTAGGTGGTATATTAGGTATATTAAAAAAGGCCGCATAATTAAAGCAATAAATCTTAGATATTGAAGCCTCAATTTTTATATACAAAGTATCTCACTTCTAGATAAAAGTTTATGGAAATAAATAACGTATTCAAGCAACATATACGGCCTGTTTGGGAATAGCGTTATAGTTTGGATAAAATTTTAACGGTGCAGTTTACTTTAAAAACGCTAACGCTAAACGCTGCCCGTAAATAACTTTTTCAAAACGCTAACACTAATCGCCAACGCTATTCCCAAACAGGCCCAAAAAAGGAGAAATATTAGTTAGTATCTCAAATGGGAAAAGTGGTCGTGCCGAGAAAAATTATTAGATTGAAGAACACAAAATAGAGTGTAAAACCAGAAGATGAAGAAACATTTTTTGCTCTTGTGGCAATGAAAATGGTGAAATTTGCACTACATAGGACTAAAACATAATTAATTTTCTAATTTAAGATTTAAACTTTTTTATTTTTTAAATAGAACTTAATAATATCTTAGTGGGAGGAATAATGCCTAGTAATGATGGACATTTATTTGAATAATGACTAAAAGATAATGACCAGAGGTCTTCATTAGGAAATAAAAACATATGGTCCTATATTGGGAAAGTCATTAGATTTTAGTCCTATTTAAGTAAGTTTCTCATGAAAATGCTTGTATGAATGTGAATTTTGCTGCATTGGGAAAATTTACGAAAAAAGTATATTTCATGATTTATTTTTTTGCTTTCTTATTAAATGCAAAAATAATTCAAGTCTTCAAAAATATTCTGACTAGTACTAATGTTTGATCAGAATAGAAATTTATTATACTATTCACCAAGTAGATCAAGGCCATGTTCTGTTCAACTTATTTTTTATTATTCTTATTAAAATCAGATCAGATCATACCAGATCAGATCAAATCAGATCGAATCAAATTAGATCCTATCAGATCAGGCCAGATTAGATCAAATTATATCCCATCATGATTTATTATTATTATTATTCTTCTTAAAAATGAAAAGGAATAAACTTTAGAAACTAGTTAAATAGAAAAATGAGAAAGTAAGATTGTCCTTGAGGAAGATGAAGGCCTCTCTGGCCCTAGAAGACCATATGAAAGAGGAAGATGCAGATTCTGAAGAAGAAAGGAAGAAACAGAAGAAGGTGTCTGTCTCTGAAACAAAGAAAAGGATGATGTTGGTACTCCACCCGCCAAGAAAGCAAAAACATCAAGAGAAGCACCACCCAATGGAGCAAGGGAAACAAGGAGCTCGTCCATGTCAAAGTCCTCAAAATCCGCCTCACACTCAGAAAAGTCCTCTTCACACATTTTCATCTCAGTTTCTGTTAAGTCCTATTTCTCTGATATTGTGAAGAAATTTATTATCCCACAAAGAAATCTTGACATAAAAGATTTCAAAAAGAAAACCAACCTCCTGCCTATCCTTGAGTCTAACAACCTATACAAATCAGTCACCTTACCTAGGTCTTTTGTGGAGAAAGTGATTCAAGAATTCTTTTGCAATTTATTTGATGCATGTATCTCTCATGATGATCCCTCCTTTCATAAAGTCTTTGTTAGAGGAAAGTTCTATGATTTTTCCCCATTTGTCATCAATTCATTTCTTGGCACAAACCCTTGTCGAGTGGTTTCCCCCCTTAATGAAGATAATGTGTGGCATGACCTTACAAATGGCTTGAGGAACTCCCAACATGGAAAATTAAAAGTTCCCTCCCCTGTTCTTAAGAGTTCCTATGCCCTTCTCCTCAAAATAGCTTCCTATCACTGGTTTTCAACTACCCATGCAAACACAGTGCCACTCTGCATGGCCACCCTCATCTACAGGATTAAACATTGTGAACCTTTTTATTTGGGTAGACTGATGTTTGACCAGGTAATGACATTTGCAGCTGCAAAGTTCAAGACAAACCAGAATGGTCTCCCCTATCTCTTGTTGATCTATAAGATCTTGAAGAGTCAGGGATTTGCTAAAGAGAAACCTGAAGAAGAAGAAGAACTGATCCCACTGCTGTTGCAAGTAGACAGCAGGTACTTTGAAGGCAAACATTTCAATGACATGGTTTCTGCTGGAGCATCTGGAGGGTCCCTTCTCTGTTGATACACAGCTCAGTTTTCTAGACAAAGAGATCAAGGCACTTCAGATGGATGCAGATTATCACAACAAAATTGCTTAAAGGTTTATAGCAAGGAGAAACATGCTCATCCAAATTGCGCACACCCTGAGGCAAACAAGGGGTGCAAGGAGAAATAGGGAGAGTCTGAGAAAGTAGAGAGCAGCTGCTGAGGAAGACGACCAAGTCAATAGTGAAGAAGAGTTCCCATCTTCAGAATCAGAGGAGGCCACTCAGGGATTCCCATCTTCAGAATCATATGAAAATAAACATTATTTTCATAGGATTCCATTCTTATGAAACTCATTTTTTGGGTAAAAAAGAGTTGTTCTGCTTTGTTTCTTTTGGTGCTAAAACATTGCATGTGTTTTGGTTGATTTTTATATTTGACTTTCCTGATGGGAGGATGGATTTATTGACATTACTTCTGAAGTCTTTTATGATCTGGTTATGCACTAACTTCATATGCATGCTTCGTGAAGAGATGATTACACAGAGCCTACCCCTCTACATGGGTAAGTGGCTCCTCCTATGATGACTGATGTCAGTATAGATCTTATTAGATTCACCTCTAGTGTTTTTCTCTTTGTACCTATTCTTGACCGTATTGAATATTACTCGTATTTTTTCCCCAAATTGTCTCTCTCAATAAAACATCTTTGGCATTTTTTATGCAAAAAAGGGGGAGAAGATGTTCAAAAACGGCTGAATAGTGGGTTTTGTCAAAAAATGCCAAAGAGGGAGATTGTTAGCTCCAAATAGTTCACGTTGGTGTCATTCATGTTGGCATAATTTTTTGACAAAAACCTTTTCTGTAGTATTGTTAGTATGTTCATATTGTGTCAAGAGCTGTAGCATCCTGTCAGTCATCCTGGGAAAGGCTTTCATGTTCTAGGGTTCTTATTCGACAAGGACTCCTAATCTTTGGGACTTATATCACTTGGGTTTTGTGAGGAATCCAGTATTAAGAGGATTTACATTACTTGGGTATCTTCTAGCCACGTGATGATTAGTAGATGCATCCTACGAAAGATGTCATGGTGCACTAGGATTGTTTGGTACTCAAGCTTATCACCACAGAATTCCAGATTGACTCCACTAGGGTTATGTGAGTAATATATAAAGAGACACCCATGGATGAAAGGCGGGCGTGCAGATTAATAATCATACATCTTAAAGAGAGAGATCACTAATAAGGTCTGATCGAAACACACACATCTGTGAGAGAGTTGCATGAGAAGATTAACCCTGAATCTTCTCCAAGGATTGTTCAGCTGTTGAATCCTGGAGAGCTGAGCTAGGGTCAGAGACACATCCTTCGTGCAGAGCAAGAAGAAGGTGTAATACGCCTGAAGAGATACAAATCGAGTTTTGTGTCTAATCACGTAAGTAGACAAGTCAAATTCATTAGAAGGATCTGTTGAAGTTTGATAGTGTAACTCTTATATTGATCTAGTGAAAATGCTATTACACGGATATGGGCCTCGCAGATATAGGAGATACTGCTCCGAACTGCGTAAATAAATTACTGTCTTTGTGTGCTTTCTGTTTATGTGTGCGAATGTTGGGAAAGGTGGTGTAACATCATGTGTGTTCTAACCTCAAGCTACAACACACTTTCTAACAACGTTTGTGGTGTGTTATTTTTGTGATATATATCCCTGGAATTGCATTGCTGTGGTTGTGGAAATTTCAATTATAATGTGTTTTAGCTCCTCAATTGTGTTGTTTGTGTGTGTATATTTTTTTTAGTAAATTTCATGAAGCTAATTGGCTTTGTCTAAGTTTTTAACCTTTTATTATTGTTTAGGTGTCAATAGATTTGGCTTTATATTGCTTGAGGTAGAAAGAAAGATCAAACCTCCACAAAAGAGTTACCTTCCCTTTGTATATTTAATGCATGTTCAAGAATAGATTTGCATTTTTCTTATCTTTAATTTACCTTATGAATATAGGTCATCTTTGCAATAATATTGGCTGCATTAAGGCTTGCTATTGCATTTAATGTTTTCATGATTGTTGAAGATTTTCTATCGTATTCAGTGAGTTTCAATGTTTCATTATTTATCATCATTTCAATTATTTTTTAGTTTGTCTTTTATCGTTAGGTTTTTCATCTCATGTTATTAGGTTTTTCATTTCTTAATGGTTGGGTCACAAGTTGTATCGGATTTGCTAGAGGTTGACTAGGAATCTTTTCACAAGATAGACACTATAGGATTGAGAAGTTATTGTTGATTGATCTTTTGATCCATCTCGATTGATGGATAAACTTGGAATCACAAGCAATATTTGTTTTTCAGAAGCAGCTCTACAACCCTTGAGTGTACTTTTTTCATTGTTCTAGATTTTCATTCTCAATGTGATGAAATAATTGAATTTCAAAAGGTTTTCAGGTTTGCCTTTTGCTCTGGATGTTACAATTGATTTTCAGGTTCTCAGGCAGTGATTATGGTTATTTTACAAAAGGAATTGTCTTCTAATTCCTTTACAGTATTGGCAGACTCCATGTGTTTACTCCAGATTATAAATTTATCAACATAGATGACAACAAACACACATTGTTTTGTATGGAGTATTTTAAAATTATTTAATATACTTATTTATTTGTGTGTGTTATACTTGAATTTTGATTTAGATGTTTATTCTATGAAGTTCACTTGAAACTTTAAAACGAAACTATTACCCGTCGGTGGTGTTCGCTTATGACCCATATTCACGTATCCAGACTTACTGGAAAATATGAAAGATTATATCTTTTTTATGGATAGAGCTTTATTAGCACCCACGTTTGAATTTGTTGAAATGATCAATGATTTTGTTTTGTGTCTAATTCCTGGAGATGAAAAGGAGTATTTGAGCTATGATACTTCATGTCAAGTAGATTCAGATATAGGCATAGATGGTGATTGGATAACGACTGAGTTTTTGAACGATATCAAGTGTTCTGGGGTTCCAAGCCACAGAATTGTTTTGAAGAAAGGGGTACCAATTATGCTATTAAGAAACATTGATCAAATATCTGGGTGTGTAATGGTACAAGATTGATAGTTGAAGAGTTACGAAAAAATGATATCGGTGCAATTGGTGTATCAGAAAACAATGTCGGTGAGAAAGTTACATACCAAGAATGAATTTGGTACCGTAAGATCCTGGATTACCGTTTATGTTTCAAAGAAGACAATTTCTATTATCTTTATGTTTTGGCATGACAATCAATAAGAGTCAAGGCCAAACATTGTCATTTGTTGGATTATTCTTGACCAAATCGGTATTCACTCACAGTTAACTTTATGTTACAGTTTCACGAGTGAAAACTAAGAAAGGATTGAAAGTGTTAGTTTTAGATGACAACGGTAATCTTTGCAATTGCACCAAATATATGGTTACCCTAAAGTTTTTCAAAAAATTTGGATTTAATTAATACATTTATACGTTCGTTTCCAATTTTATATCGCACTAAATTTAGTTATCATACTCTATTTGTGTTGTATTATTCATTAAATTTCTAACATTGTATATTATATTTAGCTTCATTTTTAGTTATGTACTTAAAACAAACATTTAACAAAATTTAAAATAACATGCGTTCGATCCCGTGCGTGGCACGGGTTATATACTAGTATGTGTGTAAATAATACTAACATATCTAAAATGGTGCGCCATCATATTACCATGTAGAATAAAAAGGTAAGAACCATGTAGAATAAAGTGATAATGTAACTACTGATGTCTATGTCAAGGAACCAATTCAACCAAAAGCTCAAGCTTGTGTTTGTGGCGCAAGAATGATTGTTATATACCCTAACACGCTCCCTCACGTGCAGGCGTGACCTTTTTGAGTCTTGCACGTGAAACCTTAATTTTTTTTAAACTGGGTGGCGGTGAGTTTCGAACTCGTGACCTCTTGGTCATCAAGGCTCCGATACCAATAATGATAATAATATTAATAATACGAATAAAGGTAATAATATTAATTACAAATAATATTTATAATACTAATAAAAGAAATAATATTAATAAGATCAGACTCATAAAGGTCATGACAAGAATAATACTAATAATACTGATAAAGGTAATAATATTAATTTCTGATATCATCTTTCCCATAAAAATGTCAAAGTAATTTATTATAATAAGTTTCCATTTTTAAAATGGCCAGTCTCCTAGGTTTTTCCGAGAATAAAGAAAAAATAAATAGTCAAAAATAGGAAAAGAAACTAAATAACCTTTAATTAGAAAATTTTACATTGTAATAAATTACTTTTAATTAGAAATGGTAATGAAACCATCCATTGCATATTACCGTGTAAATTGTTTTAATTATATCCTATGCCAAATATTATACACGATAATAAATTAGTTTTAATTAGAAATGGTAATGAAATCATACTGTCATGTAAAATGATTTTCTAGGCTCACTACGATTTTACGAAAGTTAAGAAAAAAATAAACGGCCATAGAAAGAGAAACAAAAATGTTCAAACTCTCAGTCGCTTTCGTAATTGACCACTTTGAACTGCGTTTTTAACTCTGCCCTTCAAGTAAAACATGTGATTGTTAAAGGATGTAAAGAATATTGATGAGAGGTCGTCAGTTTTGATGATAAAATTAAGAATGATAAGAGCTTATCTTGTTCCCGCTCATGATAGAGGATCCGAATCATTAATTTTTCATTAACAACGTTGTAATGATGATAATATATATTTTTTCCTTTTCATAGTTAGGGGATCAAATACATGCGCAGATCAGAAATTCAAATATATGCACTTTCAAAGAAAATTTGAAAGACGATAGTGTTTATTCACTGATGAGAGTCAAATATCTTTTTGCATCATTCAAAAACGATCTTAATTTAGTAACGTAAATATGATCCGTGCAATTCACGAGTGTGATATTAGTAATTCATATAAAATGGGTCTTAAATATTACGAAGTATTTTTAAGGAAAGAGTTATTGTAAAGAAATTGTTTTTTTTTTTGGAAAGAAGAAAAATTATTACAAAACTTTCATAAATAATTTCTAAACTTCTACACCGACCCATACGAAGTACAAGTACTATTTTTCGCAAACTTTTCCTAATACGGAGTAGTATAACATTCTAATTCAAAGCTGAATTTTAAAAAATCTAAAAAGATACCATAATTTTTTCCGGAGTTTGACTTTCTTGATTAATTATTTTATACTTCGACTAGAAATTGTGGAAAAAAATACATTGCATTATTATATAAATTAAGTATCAATAAATTACTTTTGAGATATATATCTTTTTAAAATATTACTCCATTTGATCTTAGAAATCTTTCCTATTTTGACTTTTTTAGTAAAAAAATGACACTCTTTGATCAGAAATTAAACATAATCTAAATAAACAAATGATATAAAAATGTGATATATCAAAACTATATCTTTAGATGAATTCATTTATATTGAATTATTTTATAATTAAATATATTTTCCTCCGAGGGAGTATATTTTTATAACATATATTTATATTTATATATAAATAAAAATATTAATGATTAAAATATTGCATGGGAGATTATAGTCTAATAATGCAAGTATTTCAGAATTAATCATGGCTTGATAAGGCAATATAATCTGGGGACTCTAGTTTTAGAATACGTACGTGATATAGAAACCCAAATATCTTACTTTAATTGTTCAAACTTTAATGGTAATTTAATTATTTTCTTAATCTTTAATCTTTTATGAAACCTTAGGTTTTTTGCCCCTAAAAATAAAAAGTATAAACACGTTAAACATGTCCCCTTTCCTCCAAAACCATCCCTCCCGCCGATCAATATGGTTCTCCCAAACTTTTGTTCCAAGTTTGCCCTTGGATGGTTTGTCTCGACCGTGCTAGCCGTGGCGGCTCAGACAAGCCAAGCAGCCACGGCTAGCACTGGAGGCGATTCGTTTCAAGACCTTCCCGTGGAGGAGCACTTTGAGCAGTGGATGGTTCTTCACGAACGGTCCTATGAGGACGAGTTCGAGAAGGAAAAGCGGTTCAATATTTTCAAGAAAAACAGAGAGTACGTCGAGTCCTTCAATAAGGCTGGCAATCGCACCTTCACCCTCGGCATCAATGCGTTTTCCGACATGACCGACCAGGAGTTCATGGACACTTACCTCAGCAACAATTGCTCCGGACCGCCGGCACCACCACCACTGCGCCGCCCCCGCCGCCGCGGGATCCGCCGTACGCATTCGCCGAAACAAGATGGCGGGCCCGTGCATAATGTGAGTTTGGATTATATTCCCGCCGAGATAGATTGGGTGAAGCTAGGCGCTGTCACTAGCGTGAAAAACCAAGGAACATGCGGTAATATAATATAAAATTTATTCTTTTTATTAAATTTTTTAAAATTGACTTTAAAAACGAGTTAAATATATTTTTGGTCTTTTTTTTTGTTTCTGTATTTTTCTCATTTTTTATATCCGTACAAATTTTGCCAAGTTAACTTAAATACAGAGTAATTAAATTAATTTACAGCGACTAAAAACAAAATTCATTTATTTTACAGATTCTAAAAATACTCCCTTCGTCCCAAAATCTCTTTCAACGTTTCAAAAAAATAGTGTTCCATAATCTTCTCATTCTTATTAAAAAATTACTTTTACCTTTTACTTTTTCAAACCCTACCTATCACATCATGCTTTTTTTCTAATAATCTACATATCACATCTTACTTTTACCTAATCACATCAAGGATATAATTGGAAAGTCAACACAAAATTATCTCATCCTTATTTTACCATTTTAGTCATTATGTTCCTCTCTTTTGGAGCAGGTTGTTGCTGGGCTTTTGCCACAGTGGCGGCTTTGGAAGGACTAAACAAAATCCATTACAAGACGCTTTTGGACTTGTCGGAACAACATCTCCTAGACTGCGACACCAAGTCCCACGGCTGCAACGGGGGAGGCATTGACCGAGCGTTCGAGTACGCGGTGGGGAACGAGGGGATAGCCAAGGAGGAGGACTACCCCTTCGTGGGGTACCAGGGGAGATGCCGCGAGGACGAGGTGGAGCCCTATGGTAGCATCGAGAGCTACAAGATGGTCCCGAAGAACGATGCGTGGGCCCTACAAAGGGCAGTGGCACTGCAGCCTGTGGCTGCTGCGATCACTTACGGACCGGACTATGTCCCGGAGTTCAAGAACTACTTTGGGGGGATTTACCACCCCGGCAAGGGCGGGTATTGTGGGTACGGGACACGCCACGCCGTTGCCGTGGTGGGGTACCACACCAATCCTAATTATTGGATCATCAAGAACTCTTGGGGTACGGTGTGGGGAGAGGACGGTTATATGAGGTTGGCAAGAGATCCCAGTATTATTGGACCTTGCGGTATTCTCACCGAAGCAAGTTATCCCGTTCCTTATCCCAGTGATTGATTTCTTTTCTTTTCATTCTTTTTATTAGGGTTATGTTTCTTTTGAATTAGAACCTACTAAGAAATTGTTAGTCACTGTCATAATATGACTTTAGATTCTTTAATATTTTTTTATGATAATGTAGGCCCCGTTATTATTTTCCATCATTATTTAAACATTCCTAATATCAATAAACATTATTTTAACTATCACCATGTTGTTGATCATGGTTGAAAAATAGATTTCTAACCCTTCACTGAAATTCATAAATTAACTTAAGTGAAATTTGCTCCAAGTAGCACTAAAACTTAACACTTTTTTCAAGATGACACGAAACAAGTTTTTTTTCCAAAATTAACTTTAAATTAATTAATTAATTATTAATAATATACATTTATTAAAACAACCTTCTATCTTAATTATTTTATGCTCCATATAAAATATAGAATATATATTTTCTATTTGATCAATTTTTCTTTCCTTGATTTGTCTGCTTATATTTTCTCTTTTTATGGACATTGCAAAAAATATGGATATTGTTTGCAAAAGTGGAACATTGGAAAAATTATGGATATACTCCCTCCGTCCCACTCTTTTTGTCCACTTTCATTTTTGCACACCATCCAATGCACTTCTTTAATCCATTTTATCTTGTAATTTGTATATTAAAAAATTATAAAAATTATATATTAATAATCTATATGTTAAGACAAATCAAACAAGATCACACATGACTATTTTTAGACTTACACATTGAGAGAATTTGATGAGTCAAAGTGCTTAGATAAACAGTTCCAAAAGTCAAAACTGGACAAAAAGAGTGGGACGGAGGTAGTAGTACATTGTAAAAATTATGGACATTGTTCACTAATCGGGGACACTGATAGCTAATGCAATGTGTTGAAATATTGAAATAATAATATTGCTCATTGAATTATGGAGTACATGATAGTGTATATATAGGATAGACTCCTAACACAACTAGGAATAGAAAATAAAAACTAACTAACATACAACATCTATCACAAATAGGATTAGGAAGCTGACTAATAATGAAACACTACCATAACCAATACTACAAGAAGTACTATTAATATTACTGTCTAACATCCCCCATCAAGCTGAACTCTGGCTGAAGCAAGAGGAAACTTGGACACTAGCTGGAAACAAGAAACTTTGAGAAGAGAGAAGTCTGACATGCACCGGTGGCTGCTCACATCGTTGGAGAAGAGAGAAGTGTGACGCGTGCCGGTGGCTGCTGACGTCGTTGGAGAAGAGAGAAATCTGACGTGCGCCGGTGGCTGCTGACGTCGTTGGAGAAGAGAGAAGCCTGACGTACGTGCACTGGTAGCTGCTAACGTCGTTGGAGAAGAGAGAAATTGACGTGCGCTAGTAGCTGCTGATGTCGATGAAGATGAGAGAAGGTTGACGTGCGCTTGTAGCTGCTGACATCGAAAAAGAATAGAGAAAGCGATTGGAGGTGTCTGTTTGACTGAAGATCCTTGACATTTTTTGTCTTTTTCTTGGATCCGGGAAATGCCTTATTTCCTTCTTGAAGGGGTGAGTTGTAGAGGTCTTATTTCCTCTTTCACTACTTCCCCTCTTGGCTTTGCTTTTGTGCTGATTTACTTTGGATTTTTTAATGATTTAACAGAAGAGAAAGAGAAGGGAGGTTGATGATTGGAATAAGTGATTTTAGAGAGAAAAAGTAGGTTAAGAATTGGTGATGGAAAAAAAATTTGGGTTTGAGATTTTGATGTGGTGAATTGGAGAGAAACAACAATCATTTTTTTCCCTTTTTTTAGATCTGAGAGAGTTTGTGAGGTGTAGAGTTTTTTTTTGAAGAACCATGGAGATGACAAGAGAGAAGTTCCTCATTCGATAGCTTTTTTCGTGTGATTTCAATAGGAGTTTTTTTTCTTTTTTTCACTTGAATGGAGAAGTTGATTTGAAGATAAAGAAGAAAAAGAAAATAGAGGTGAATAGGGTGGAGCCGCCGTCGCCGGAATTACCGGCGGCGGTGGGAGCAAAGAACTCTTTTAGGTCACCAAGAGCGGTGGCTCTGATACCATGTTGAAATATTGAAATAATAATATTGCTCATTGAATTATGGAGTACATGATAGTGTATATATATAGGATAGACTCCTAACACAACTAGGAATAGAGAATAAAAACTAACTAACATACAACATCTATCACAAATAGGATTAGGAAGCTGACTAATAATGAAACACTACCATAACCAATACTACAAGAAGTACTATTAATATTACTGTCTAACACAATGGACATTTATAATTACGACAATATCTTTTTATCAACCGACAATGTCTTGCTAATGGACACGTAGACATTAGAAGGACATTGGATATTGATAGAGTGAAACCACATAAGTCATTAAATCGATCTGCATAATGGGCATTAACGGAGTGGCGGCGAGACACTTATGTCGGCATTTTGTGATCGGCGGCCAGGGAAGGACAGTAGGACGTGATAGATTAGTAAATATAGAATCATATAAAGAGCATTTTAGTACACTAGTTATGGAAATTAGAACTTGTGGTACTATATATAGAAAAATTTACTATGTTTTAGTGTTATATGAGTAAATTTTTTCCAAAACTATGAAATAGCTAGAGACACGTCACTTTTTATATCTCAATTTGCACACTAGGGTGTGTGTGTGTGTGTGTAGACACACACTTTGTGTTTCTTTTTATTTAGTACTCTCTCTGGTTCTAAAAATATGTGAGTTGTTGATTTTTAAGAGATTTAAAGGAAGTGTATTTTGGTATTGAATTTCTAAAAAGTCTTTTGATGTGATGAGTTAAAGTAGACTTTGATAGATAGATTATTTGTAAAAATGTATGATGTGATGGGTAGGATATGAAAAAGTAAGAGGTAAAAGTGACTTTTTTATTTGAAATAAGAAGTGTTTTTGGGATGGATGTAAAAAGAAAGGATAAAGATTTTCAGGGACAGAGGGAGTAGTATTTTTACCCGTGTCATATACGGGGTGGAATGATTCTTTTTTCAATTATGAAAAAAACTTTTTTGCTATAACATTCTTTAAGAATCAAACAAAATATAACATCAAGGTTAAAATTAAAGAAATGATTGAAATCTCCTTCTGCCGTGTGCGAGGCATGAGTTAAAATGCTAATACATAATATTCTCTACATAAAATCTCCATGATTATGGAGAGGTTACAAATCAAAGACAAGTTAAGTAATAAAATAATATATGGAATATATTGATAATATTATGGATAACAGGAAACAAATATTATTATTGGTTACCTTCTTTATTCTCATGCTTTTATAATTGTTATTGAATTATGATTAAGATTCTCGCTTGTATAATAATAAATGGAGTATTAATTACTCCCTCCGTCCCAGAAAACCTTTCTCCTTTCTTTTTTCATCCGTCCCAAAAAACACTTCTCATTTCTATTAAAAAGTCACTTTTACCCCTTACTTTTTCATACCCTACCTATCACATCATACCTTTTTACTAATAATCTATCTATCAAATCATACTTTTACCCATCACATCAAAGGACATTTTTGGAAATTCAATACCAAAATACACTCCCTTAAATTCCTCTTCAAAAAAAACTCCCATGTTTTTCGGGTCGGAGGAAGTATTATAGAATCTTGGCTTATTAATTTATATTATATATATATATATATATATATATATATATATATATATATATATATATATATATATATATATATATATATATATATATATATATAAACACATTGAGCATATATGTACTCATCCCTCGACAACCATCCTTCCCTGGGGATCAATGACTTGTAATGATATGGCTCTCCTCAACAAACATTTGAAGTCTATCCTTGAATTTTTAATCCTAATTGTACTAGCGGCGGCGGCGGTTGTGACATGCCAAGCCGCCCCCGATAGTACTATGGGTGACGACCCATTCCAAGAACCGTCCGTGGAGGAACACTTTGAGGAGTGGATGGTTCTCCACAAACGGACCTACAGAGACGAACTCGAGAAGGAAAAACGGTTCACCATTTTCAAGCAAAACAAAGAGTACGTCGAGTCATTCAATAAAGCTGGCAATCGCACCTTCACACTTGGCATCAATGCGTTTTCCGACATGACCGACCAGGAGTTCATCGACGCCTACCTCAACGGAAACTATACCGGACCTCCACCACTACGCCGCCCTGTATCTTCTAAGCATTCATCCAAACCATATAGTGGTTCGTCCTTTCATAATGTGAGTTTGGGCACTCTTCCAGCCGCGGTAGACTGGGTGAAGCAAGGAGCTGTGACTAGGGTTAAAAATCAAGGAACATGCGGTAATATTTTCTTTCCTAGGAACATTTCTCTTTTTCTCTGCAAAAATTCTTCTCATTTCTATTAAAAGTCATTTTTATCCCTATTAATTTTTATCTACTTATCACATCACATCTATTCACTATTAATCAACGATCTATCAAATCCTACTTTTACCCATCACATCCAAGGATATTTTTGAAACTCAATACTAAAATACAATATCCTTAAATCCATTAAAAATCAAAATGTCCCATATTTTTAGGGATGGAGGGAGTATTTAGTTTTACTCCCCCATCCAAAAGTTAATTATCTTTCCGTTGCGCGTTACGATGTTTGATTGGTGTTATTCTTAAATCATTTTATATGAAAAATGGTATAAACTAGAAAATAAAAATTACATATTAAAAAACTACATTAAAAGATCTACTCCGTACAAAATTAAATGTTAGATGATTATATTATTTTATTAAATGAATAACGAAAATAAGTCAACAAAGTGAATAAAATTTGACCATATGAATAATGAACGGAAGATAATTTTTGGACAGGAAGTATCTGACACAATTTTTAATAGACTATAATTTATATTCTTGTGATTTGTGTTGATAAAATAGAAACAACGTTGCTCATAAGATCCTTTCCTTAAATAAAAACAACAGTAACAAACCAGAAAAATCTTACAGAAACGTTTCTTCTTAAAGTGTTACAAAGTTAAAAAGTTTTGGAACAATAAAGTAAAAACATAATTATTGTTGGAGAAGCCAAGAAGGTAGATAAGAGTTGACAATATTTCGTTTTTTGTTTTATTAAGATTATGAATTTATGATTATACATTTTAGGGATTAACTAAGGTTTAGAGCGTAAACTAATTTGATTAGACTTTATTTCTTCTCCCCCATAAAAATCTTTTTAATGAGTTTTTTAGGGCTATTTAATATACCTTTGATCATAAAATGTACGGAGTATATATTTTTTTTCTCCCCAAACTTCCAAAAATACACCATTAGTCCATGCACTTTAAATAAAGTAGTATGTGTTTTATCTTCAAACTCTTAAAAAATACTCCCTTCGTCCCAAAAAGATTTACACGTTTCAAAAAAATTGCGTTTCACAATCCCTTACCTATTTCTATTAAAAAACCACTTTTACCCTTTACTTTTTCAAATCCTACCTATCACATTATACCTTTTTTCTAATAATCTACACATCACATCATACTTTTACCCATCACATCAAAGGATATTTTTGGAAAGTCAACACAAAATTATCCTTCCCTTAATTTCTATTTTAGTCAAAACATACCCATCTTTATGGGACGGAGGGAGTACATCATTAGTCCCTATATTTTTTATAAACTATTTACTTTCCTCTTGAACTTTAAAAAATATACAATTATTTCTATGAGTTTAAAACGAGGGAAATTTACTTAAATAGCACTAAAACATAATGACTTTCTCCAAATAGTATCACATATATATTTTTTCCAAAGTAGCACTTTTAGTCATTATCCATTATTCATTATTCTAGTAAATGTTTGTCATCACTGGACATTATAGACATTTTTAAATGTTAATAAGGGAATAAATAATTTAAGTGCTATTTAAAAAAATAACTTAAATTTTAGTGCTACTTAGGGACGGGCATAGTTGAAACGTTACAAGTATCTTTTGTTTTAATGTCTTTAATTAACAAAACTTGAATAAAAAGAAAAAAAATGGACTAGTAGTGTAGTTTTAAAAGTTCTGGGGGGAAATATAAAGGGACCAATGACACGCTTTTAAAAATTCGAGGGAAAAGTACGTATTTCTTAAAGAGTTTGAGGATAAAGCACGATCTTTCTGAGAAATATAGGGACTACAGGTGCATTTTTTAAAGTTCAGACAGAAAAGAAGCTCTTTGTGAATAATTCATATATAGGCAAATAACGTAAAAATCTTTAAGTTTAATTTCACTCTCAAAGTTTTAAAAGAATATTGAAAAATGAAAAATATGGGCGAAATTTCTTAACGAGAGAGATAAAGATTCAGAACAATATATTTTAAGTTGTACGAGGGTGCTCCCAAATGGATGCCTCCATGGGCGCCTCCATGCCTTGCACAGACACGCACATACAATAATCATCTGTGCGGCTTAGACGATAATCGTCTGAACGTGTATGTGTAAACAAGCATGCATTATTTCAAGTGTAATTTATAGTCTGCATGATGATGAAACTGCATGCATGCAGGTAGTTGCTGGGCATTTTCGGCAGTAGCGGCCCTGGAAGGACTAAACAAAATCCGTTCTGGGACGCTTTTGGCCTTGTCAGAGCAACAACTCGTAGACTGTGACACTGATTCGCACGGTTGCGTAAGTGGCCATGCTCAAACTGCATTCGTTTACGCGGTGTCGAACCACGGGCTAGCAAAGGAGGAGGACTACCCGTACACTGAAAAGCAGGGCGCGTGCCATCATGGCATGGGTGCGTTCGGCGGCATCAGGTCCTTCCAAAACGTCCCGAAGAATGACGCGTGGGCCCTCCTCACCGCCGTGGCACGCCAGCCCGTCTCCGCCGTTGTAACTTTCGGTTCGGACTTCGTCCCGGAGTTCAAAAACTACAACGGCGGGATTTACCACCCGGGCAAAAGCGGGTATTGCGGGGACGGGAATGTCCACGCTTTTGTCGTGGTCGGGTACCAAACCAACCCGAGCTATTGGCTCATCAAGAACTCATGGGGCACATCGTGGGGAATCAATGGGTATCTTTGGTTGGCCAGAGACCCGAGTATAATTGGACCTTGCGGAATTCTCCGCGACGCGAGTTATCCCCTTGCTTAGCTCTTTAATTGATCGATTCATTTTCTTTACTACCATCTAATTAGCTCCATTATAATATTCTTTCCACCATTATTTAAGCTTTCATGATCTCAATAAAAATTACTCCCTCTCTAGAGGAATATTACTCCCTCCGTTCTACAAAACACTTCCGTTTTAATTTTTTGTGCATCCCATAAAATACTTCCGAATTTCGTTGAACGTAGTTAGAAAACTCATTCGACTGAAAGGTACGTTCAGTTGCTGAAAGATAGAGGCTACCTAAAATGTCTAAAATACCCCTAAAACAACTTCTACCCGCAATAAACTACATAATGGGGTATATTTTAGATATTTTAGGTGGAAGTAAAAGCGTTTAATGAGGTGCGCAAAATTTTAGGGCGGAATGGTTTTAAGGAACGGAGGGAGTAGTATTTTTTGCATTTAAATTTGTTGTTCTCCATACTTATAAATGTAGAAAAAATAGTTGTCACACATGTACTAAGGCTCCGTTCTGTTCAACTTATTTTTTCTAAACTGATCTGATTTTTTGTAGTTCAAATCTGATCTGGTCTGATCTAATTGGGTCTCATCTGATCTGATTGGATCTAATCTGAACTAAACTGATTGGATCTGATCCTGATCCGAACTGATCTGATTAATTATGATTTGATTTAAAATTTAAATCAATAATTTGATTTGACTTTATAATAATGTTTGAAAGTTGTAATGATAATTCATATTTTAATATAATCAATATTTTTTATGATTATTTTTTAATAAAATAAAATTAGTTAATTCATATATTAAAATGTAATAATATTTTTTGTTTTATGATTATTTTTTGTGAAATAAGAATATTGATTTAATATTTTAATAGTTAGTTCATATATACATTAGAATAAATATTTAATTTATATATATACATTAAAAGTAATTAAATTTAGATAATCAATATGAAGAAGAGATAGTATTTTTTATTAAAATATCTCATCCTTATAAAGATCAAAACTTTAGAAACTCAAATTACGGGTACCAATAAAAATGTATTTTAAAAGTAGAATTAGATTGACGTTGTCAATGTATTTTAAAAATAATTTTTCCGACGTCTAATAATTTAGGATTACTTTCTCAGTTTTCTATTTAACTTGTTTCTAAAGTGTATTCTTTTTAATTTTTAAGAATAATAATAATAATAATAATAATGATAATAATAATAATAATAATAATAATAATAATAATACGGTAACCTACTTCTTCTAATTCTTTTATTAATTATTGTAGTGTTTCATTAAATTACTTATTATATTACTTCTTCATGGATAAATATTATATTAATAATTATTTTTTAATTACTTCAAGTTAATTTACGTTTTGGAGAATTAGTAATTACATTTTTTATCATTGTTTTGTTAATTATTATTTTACTCAATCATTTTTCACTGAAATTATTGGAAGAAATGGATTTAGAAAATATTGGAGGGGGTTGAAAAATAGGGAAGAGTTAGAAAATTATTTTTAAAAAGAAAAGTGGTGAAAAATATTAAATTTTTCAAATTTTATTCTTTTAATAAAATAACCAAAATTTTATTTTTATGAAAGCATTAGCTCTTATTCAACCCATATTTAGTACTGCATCATTTAAAATTTTCTTCCCATTGTGACTTTTTTTTCAAATTTTTAAAATATTGACCACGAATTATAGGAAAAAAATATTAAAAATATCTTTTAAATTTAACATCAATAGATTTATTTTGAAACTTAAAAGTTTTAAAGTATTTTATTTTTGTGATAATCTATATCTATATATAAGTAGAGATATATTAATGTAAAAGGGTCAAAATATTGCATTAGAGATCATGAAAAATCAAATAAGAAGAAACTTTATTGTTGAAGGAAGTACCTAATATTTTGTGGTAATTATGGAAATTAATTCCAGGAATAGAAAATATTTTTTTGTAAATTTTGAAATTAATTTGACTTTATAATTATTTTACTCAAATGTATAATGATCTGATGATGATGATGATGATAAAAAATGATGAGGATGATGATAATAAAAATATTCAAAGTAATTTTATTAGTCATTTGAATAAAATATGCCTAGATAATGATCTTTAAGTAATTGTTAAATAAAAATGTGAAAGATTTGGAAGAAACGAGAAGTTGAAAGAAAAGAAACTATAAAATTAAAAAATTTAAAACTCTAGAATTAAAACCCAGAACCTGACCTCCTTATGTGTTACGATATCCGAAATATCAAGTTCAACAAAAGATGTTGGGGAAAAGACTAAATAAGAGCAAAACATTTAAAATGGAGATAATTTCATTAATGTTCCCAATTATATGTAGTTTTCAATATTTAGTTCTCAATAGTGATATATTTCATAAACAGTCTCTACTTTTTGAAAACTATTTCACAAGTAGTCTTTTTCATCAAACATGACAAAATATTTTGAATAAATTTTCAAAATGGTCCCTCCTAATAAGATTTTTTCTCAAAGTAATCCTCAATAAGTAGAAATTATTAACATGGTCCTTTATAATTGAGATACGTTTCCTAAATATATATTTTTTTATAAAAAATGCCTATTAAATGTCAGTTAAATAGAGAATATTCTGATGTTATTTAATATTTAAACTATGAATAAATTCTCAAAATGATTTTTTTTTAAAATTAAGTGGGAGGCTTCTAATAAATAATAATTACCAACGTGGTCCTTTAAAATTTAGATTTATTTCCTTAATGGCCCTTTTGCCTAAATTTCTATTAAATGTCAGTCGATTAGAAGGTATTTTGACATTTTTCATCATCTAGGTTTAAAGTATGTTCTCAAAATGCTCCTTTATAGTTAAGTGTTTTTTCAAACTAATAATTTTTAAGTAAATTTTTTTTCGAAATGGAGTCCCTGAGCCAACTCAGGGTGGGTCCCTTCTTCTAGTAGCCTCCCACTTAATTTAAAAAAATCATTTTGAGAACTTATGCATAGTTTACATAATAAAGATCATCAAAATACTCTTTGTTTAACTGTCATTTAATAGACATTTTTATAAAGAACTATATATTTAGGAAACACATCTCAATTATAAAGGACCACGTTAGTAATTTTTTCTTAGAGAACTACTTTGGAAAAAACCCATAATAAAAAGGCCCCTTTTGATATTTTTTTAAAAATATTTGGTCATATTTGGTGAAAATAACTATTTATGGAATAGTTTTTCAAAATTGAGGATTGTTTATGGAATATTCCGTATTTTATAACTGGGGACTAAATATGGAAAACTACATATAATTTGCGACCATTTATAGAATTTACTCTTGAAAATATACCAACCTAGGAGTTCAATGTTTTATGGCCGAAGTATGAATTAAAATGCATTTTCATTATCAATCATGATCATGTAGATTACATAAAATGCACATGTACAATGTCATTATACAACAATGTGAACTCTTATTTAGGTAATAAAACATGACTCCTATTTTGGTACTTTCTTTATGTTAAGTCCTATTAAGGGTGATTTCTTAAAGATGTTTGGTAAAAATTAAAATTTGTTCTCGGATTTAAATTAGTCAAATTTGTATTAAATTGTACTAAAATATACTCCACCCGTCCCCCAGTTTTTGTCCACTTTTGACTTTTGGAACGGTTCATCTAAGCAGTTTGACTCATCAAATTCTCTCAATGTGTAGGCCTAAATATATTCATGTGTGATCTTGTTTGATTTGTCTTAACATATAAATTATTAATATATAATTTCTATAATTTTTAATATACAAATTACAAGATAAAATGGATTAAAGAAGTGCATTGGATGATGTGTAAAAATGAAATTAGACAAATATTCTGGGACGGAGGGAGTATGTCCTTTCTTAATGTAGCACTCATACTTTTTTTATTTTCTAAATAGTACTTGAATAATGTTTATTGGCGAAAAAATGTCAAGTGATGATAGACATTTAGTTTAAGAAATGTCCAGTGGTTCTGAAAATTTATTTGAAGAATGACTAGTGAATATTGAACAATGATACTAAATTCAAAATAATGTGTAATAAAAACTTTGACAAATATTTTAAAAGTAACATTTTAGTTTACAAATTTATGAAATTACATACATACATACATACATACATACATACATACATACATACATACATACATACATACATATATATATATATATATATATATATATCTTGAGGAAACAAAAATTGTGATATTTTTGTTGCATAATGGCATAACTATGATTCTCTCATTTTTGAGAGCTCATGTGTTCAATTACCAGAACACCTCTATGAGTTTCATTAGGTTGATAATATATGGACTAATATTACATTTTAATAGAGTCATTACTATTCAAAAAAATCAATAGAAATCATCCTAAATAGAACTAAAACATAGAGAAAAGTACCAAAATAAGACTTTCATGTTTTTTCCCCTTAAAAATAGGAGTTTGCATTGTGGTAATGCGGCACTGTACATGTGCACATTACTATACTTTTTTAAGAATGTACATAACCATGTTTGGTAATGTAAGTCCTATTTTAAGAATAAAAACATAGAAGTCCTATTTTGGTATATTTTTATAATCCGTATGTTAGTTCTACTTTGGTATTTCTCCCAAAAATTTAAAAATAAATAGAGTGAATTTCATAAATAATCCTCAGTTATAGGTCGTTTTACATATTTAGTCCCTACATATCAAATATTACTAATTTCGTCTCCAATTATTATATTCATTTCCACGAATGGTTCTTTGTTAACATTTTCGTCAAGAACGTGGATAAAATTGTAAACTCAAACTCCTTTATCTCCTCAATTAAGCTTCCTCCCTCCCCCCGCACTCCTTTTCCAAACTAGTCGCTGAATTTGAAGCTTTGAACCCAAAACCAAAATCATCACTCTTTTCTCAATTATTTGTCTAACTGGTAGAACCCAAATTCGAAACTATAACTTTCATGGATGAGTTTTAATGTTTATTTTCTTTATAATTTCTTGATACTGACCGATAAAACTCATCCATAAAGCTTATTGGTTTTAATTTTAGGTTCCACCAAAAAGACTAATAATTGAGAGAGGAATGATCATTTCAATTTTGAGTTTAGAACTTCAAACTCAGCGACGAGTTTGAGAAAGAGTATGAGAGGGAGAAAGCTTAATTGAGGAGAGAGAGAAGTATGAATGTACAAGTTTATCCATGTTCTTAACAAAAACGTTAACAAAGGACTATTCGTGAAAAATGATATAATAATTGGGTACTAAATTAGTAATATTTTATATGCAGGGACTAAATAAGTAAAACAACCTATAACTGGGATCTTTTATTTGAAATTTACTCAT